TTCTCTTTGATATTTTGTTACTGTGCTCAGACACGATCTGAACTTTGTCACTTGTTTCTTTTTAAAGTTGCAAATATGTCATATTCCACTAACTTGCTAAATAGAAGCTTTAGTTATAAACCTGGCAGAAGATTTTAGAATGTGACTGAATAACAAATCCATGGAACAAGATGAACATGAGAATGAACAAGGTGCTTAAACAACAGCAAATCTGTAACACACTGAACTCTAGAATTTAAAAGAATAGACACTGCTGGAATTATACTGGACATACACCAGCTTTTAAAAAAACAACTCACTATTTCCAAAGAAATGTACCATAAACATTTACAACATAGAATGGGGCTATTCAGTCTATTCTGTATGTGGATATTTGCTGAAGCAATACAAAATTAATCCCAATGTCTCTGTCTTTTCCATTAAAATTTGAAAGAAAAATTTAAGTTATAACAGTATCTGCCTTAAACACTGTGACAAACATTTCATACTTTAGCAACCCACCACTAAAGAAATGTGCTTTCTTCAATGATTATTTTAAATTTATAGGCCACATGTTCTAATCCCAAAACAGACAAAGCTTTTTTCGTATTAAAAAATCAAAACCCTTCATTTTTAAAAAAAAAAAAACACGTTTTTGCTCAAGTAGAATTAGTCCCAATAACTCGTTTCTAAGTACTTTCCCAACGCAACCTCACTCTAGTAAATCTACATTATATATCTTCTGTGGTATCCAAAGCTGTACCCATCACTGTGGCCTAATATTTTGTACAGATTTACTATAATTTTTTCTCTTGTCCTCTTTGCCTCTGCCATAATATTTTGAAATGCTGTTAGCCTAGTTCATAATTATATCTACTTAGCCTTAGCCTTACTCTTCTAGATTAACAAATTGAAATTCTAGGTGTCTGTACTCATCCATGCTCAAACCACCGAACGTGAACTTCTTTTCATCATTTCCCAATGGAAATTACCTCCCATTTATCCATATTCAATTGCAACTGATGTTTCAAACATTCTGTACTGTTGTAATCCTCCTGTCAGCAAGTCCTTAAAATTAGCTGAAGACACACAGAAAAGGTAAAAGCATTTTGTATCCTGCTCAAGTCTAAATCATCCCCACATATTAAAGAACAAATATGTACCCAGCAATGATTCCTGGAATCACCAGATAGGTCACCCATCTCCTCCAGAGTAATCAGTGATGGGCAACAAATACGGCTGAGGCTAGCAACGCTTGCATTTAATGAATTGATTTAAAAGATTCAAGTATATTCACTTCATCCAACATGTATTTCATGTCACAACATTTTCCCTTGTATTATATGCCTGAAAATACCTTTTCTACAAGCCTCTTAGACCTGAGATCCATGTACACTGATCTGCAGCACTTTCTTCACCTGATCACCTCTTCAAAAAAAATCTACCTTTACCAAATCCATGATGTCTGACTTGAACAACTGTTGGATTTCTACACGGACTCTAATATGATCTTGGATTATGGAGTTTTAGGGTTACCCATAACTCACTTTACTGTCCAGTTAATTGGTTTATCCTTAACTACTGGTTACTTTTCAACACAATCTGCACGTGGCCACAGCTTCCCATCAGGACCTAGTGACTTTTCCATCTTATGTTTTTCTTGTTTATTTCAAAACAATTTCTTTTAATGTGGTGTAACAATTATTCCATCCACCTCCTCTAGTATACCTACATGCACATTTCTATTTCTATCTTACAATAACTGATGAAATATGGAGTATTCATCTTTACATACCTTCATTTTACACAATTAAATTCCTTCCTTCGTGCCCAAGCATTCTCATAGATGCTTCTTTCAAACCTGAATCAGTCTCCTTCATAGGACTGACCAATTCAAAAGGAAGGGTAAGAAATAAGATGGATTAATGAGTACCATTAATTACAACTAGCAATGGTATGAAACAATGAGTAAACCAGCTTCAAAGTTGAATGAGTAAATTACAATGCATACATAAAATATGATAGTACTGGGAATATTGGTTACACGAGATCAGAAAGATTATAAGATACACTGTTAAGAATTGCTAAATTATAGTGATGGTTCCTATCCATTATAATTTTATTCATCCCCTGGCAGCCAGTTTTAGAAACAGAGTTACAGGAAAGTGTTTATCCCATAGGTAACAACTCCCAGATAATACTTGGAACATGACTGGGAGAATTGCGGGGACAAAAACCGATCATGCCAATCTGAGGAAACTGGATCAGCAACAACTTCAGTGAACTCTTGTATTTCCCCCACTATCAGTTACAGTGCCTTTAATCGTTTAAATCTGGAATTCCCTCAGCCTCTCTCAAAGATCCTCCTTAAAGCCAATCTCTCTGACTGAGTTTCTAGGTCAATTAACAATTTCTCTAAACCAAATAAACATACCGAAACATTTTCTACATCAAAAGTGCTACATAAACACTAGATTTAATTGTAATCCTCTTCTGACCGCCTGGCTGATTATACTTACTATGTTAATCTGTTTTAGTCTTAAAGATTATAAAATCAGCACAGTTTTCTATTTTAACAAAAATTATGTGCAAACTTATCTGCAATATCAACTGTAGGTGACTAAACTGATATCGCTCTGAACACTCATACAGTACATGTAACCTTATGAATATTTACTCAGCTGGATAATGAGGAATAAAGCTTATGTCACAATGAGTCATAAATGTAAGCATTTCCTGTGCTAAACTACCATCAGTGTATGAGAGTACACTTTTATTCTGAAACAACAACAGGAATTGCTGGAGAATCTCAGTTGTTCAAGTCAGACATCATGGATTTGGTAAAGGTAGTTTTTTTTTGAAGAGGTGATCAGGTGAAGAAAGTGCTGCAGATCAGTTGTGCAGAGAAAGCAAAGTTAGTGTTTCAGAATCATGCTGCCAGACGTGCTGAGGTTCTCCAGCAGTTCCTACTTTTGTTTCAGGTTTCCAGCATCGCAGTTTTTTTTTGTACTTTTAATCTGTTGGGCAGCTTTGTGGGAATTTAAAAGTATGGATCCCTATCAATGGTTTAATAGTTACCAAAATAGTTGCTATATCCTATCAGCAAAAACAGTTAAAATGCAGAACAAACTAACAGCAAGGAAATTTTGAGCTACAAAGACTTTGGATTGTAAATGTAATTTTTGGGACTTGGTGCTGTGCTATATAAAGCCAAACATTGACATCTTAACACTGTACAAGATATTATCTAACTTATGCCAATGCCAGATGTTTTAATGAGCAGTAGTGCTAAGTCCCATACCTATGCTTTTTGTTTGTAACCCTATATATTCCCAATCTTAGACCTGTCCATCTCCATTTAAAATAATGGAATCACATTCTACCAATTTTCTGGTACTTAAGTTTATAAAAGCAAAGTAAGATTTTTTTTAAACCATTAACTTACTTTGCTTTAAAGGACATGCAGACAGCAAGGTCTCTAACATTTTTCAAAATAATTCAAGAAACCTGACTGCAAAAGAGCATAGTATATTGTTGAACACCAAAATAGAGCCACTGCTCGTGGCGTACATAGGCGAGGCCAACCCAAGATAGACAGTTTTGCGGACCCATTGCTGGGGACACTACTGCTGCACCACAAAAGCCTTTATGTTTTGTGTTAGGTTTATTTTTCTTATATGAATTACAGAGGCACAGTACAGATATTTCCATCAACTTGTTCAGAGATGTTATGACAAACCTCTGGAACAGGTAAGACTTGAACCCAGGTCTCTCGGCTCAAATGTAGGGGCACTACTAATGCTTTATATATTTTCTAATCAACCTGTTCAGTGGTATTATTACATACATCTGGAGCAGATGGGAATTGAACGTAAATCTTCTGGTTCAGTGATGAGGACACTACCACTGTGCCACAAAAGCCCTCTCACACGGGCCCTATTTTTATTTTCCTATTCAACCTGTTCAGAGATCTTATTACACACCACTGAAACAGGTGGGACTTGAACCCAGGTCTCCTGGTCCAGGACTAGGGACACTACCACTGCACCATAAGCGACCCCTTCACACAGGCCCTACTTTTCTAATCAACCTGTTCAGAGATGTCATTACACACCTTTGGAGTGGGTGGGACTTGAACTCAGGCATCCTGGTTCAGGAGTAGGGACTCTACCTCTGCGCCACACGAGTTTTTCATTAATCATTGACAGGTTGCGGGTGTCACTGGTTGGGCCAGCATTTATTGCCGAGGGCAGGTAAGAATCAACCACATTGCTACAGTTGGGAGGCAGATATAGACCAGACAAGGTAAGCTTGGCAGATGTTCTTCCCTGAAGTGTATTAGTGAAACCAATGGGCTTTTACAATTGACAACTTTTCATGTCAACACTAGATTCCTAATTCAAGATTTTTATTTAATTCAAATTCCACCAGTCTAACAGTCTACCAATCTACCAATAATACCACTAGGTTATGCTTCCCCAAAGAAAGCTGATGGGAGAGGGAACAGTGGAGGCTCCATCACTGGGTGGTTTCAAATCACCAACCTTTTGGTTAACAGCTGAATGTGTTGACCAATTGCAGTACAGAGACTGAGACATGGGCTGTAAAAAGTCTCAGGTGATCAGTTCCAGCTGGGCAGACCATTGCCAGTTACCAAGGGTAAGTCATACTCTAGCACCAGAGGGAGATTAATTAGTGATTTCCCTGGAGCCTTAGAGGGGTTATGACAATGGTAAATTGTTTTCCCCATAGTATTCCTGAAGTGCAACACTTGTACTGAACCCTATCAGCCATACTGAATGGCATCAAGAAAGACTTCAATATTTAGTTATGTATAACAGGTTAATGTGCTATTACTGCCACACAGCAGTTTTGACAAATGAATGTATTCAATTCCTTATACCACTAATTAAATCAGGAATTGAGTTATTTATATATTGATCTATTAAAATGATTTTTATTACAATGTCCAGCTGTCCTGTCATCAACTGCCATTTCATGAATGATGTCAGCAAGGTCCATTCGATGTCCAAAGATTTTATTTGTCCATTTTCTTTTAAAAAAAGAAAACAATTAACATCAATTTTTGCCAAAATATGGAAAGCAAGCTTAATCTGTATTAAAGCTTGGCAATGAAGAAGGTTCTGATTTTTTTTCACTTCTTACAGCTGAGAAAATTGTGTTACACAGCAGAAAATGAACATTATTATAAGCTACAACTGATAGTATTCTACTACCAGTCACAGGAGAAAAATACCAATACCGTTAATACTAATATTGTTCAGCAAGCACCATCAGTTTATATACTGATGCAATAACATGCAATGTGATGACAATAGTAACTGGGAATTGGGGTACAGCTTTGAAATATCATGAACATCAGATTTACTGATCACCATTTAGGCACAAAGTAAGAAGCTCTCAAGTAAATTATACCATGCCAAGCATTTAATAGTCTTCACATTTTAAAAAATGCTCTTCAGAATGATACTACTTTATTATATCCAAACCCAGTATAAAATTATATGAAACAAGGCAAAAATTTTGTACATCTTGCTGCATGTCATGTCTGTATGGTGTTTCAGTTGTTGCACTTTTTTGTGATGTTAATGTCCTGGTGCTGACAGGCTTTTGTTCATGAATTGCTTCTTTATAAAACATGTCCACCACTAAAAAGAAGAAAAAAAAACAATATGTTAAAAATTTGTGCCATTCTGGCTAGTTTAAAATCATATCATCTGCAACCATGAATTGGAAAAGAGAAGAGTCGACCAGAGAACATCATCTTCCCCTACAAGCCCCATTTTTAAAAAAATACAGCCTAAATAAACCATCCTCCTTTTGTAGGAGTTAGCTACAGGTGATTTCATTAGTGCATAAATGATCCTCTTAAAAATTGAGCAGAACACAATATAATAAAATCAGGTAGACAAAGTCTCCTCACCTGAGATGAGACATCTATCATATAAAAGTCTAGCTGAGAAATAATTTTTTTATACATAGTATATTGCAATTATTCTTAATTCTTCATCTTAACATTCCCTAAATTTGCCATTTAGTTTGGAAAAGGAAACAATGTCAGTATAGCTCCTCCTTTAATCCCATCAGAAACCACTCTTAAATGAAGGAAGAACTATTCTGATTTCTGACAAGATTTGTAGCCCTCAGACAACTCCATCAAAAACGTAAAATATCTTCCAGATTTTCTGTGGATTGCAGTATCATAAAAGGACCTGAAATCCACATTCTAAAAAAATTGTAGAAGTCTACAGAGGTTTCAATATTCTGATCTGCAAACTTCAGAAAAATTTTAGGCAAGCATTATTTATAAGCATATTAAATACTCAGAATCACCAGCATCTTAGGTTCAATTCCAGTACTGTGCTTATCTAATTTCAGTACTGCACTTTGTTCACTTGGATTAGGGGCAGGACAAAAAAAAAAGACATCACTCTGAAGGATTTGCAGACATTAGAGAAAGAGAAAGCTTAGGATAAAGCCTCCCAGACAATGTTAGTATCTACTGATAAACAAATGAAGAACTCTATCACCAACTACTTCTCTATAAACTAATGGCAAAAAATTGACAAAACTGGTTAATACAATAGATTTTGGAAACAATGCAAACAATTAATTTTATTTATATAATTATTCAAGAAAAATAAAAAGCTTATATTTAAACATAATGCAAAAACAAAAGGACTGGGTGGCAGCTAATACAACATTTTTACCCAGGCACAGTTATATCCAGGGGTTATAAAATTAAAACACATTTGTAATGGTACAGCATGAAATAAACCTGTAAAGTTTCAACCCATTTCCTGCATATGGGTGTCCACACCATTAAAAAAAAAACTAATTTCTGAAAAAACCTGCAAGATAATACAGATACATCACAGGGAGGTGGAGGCAGAATGGTAATGCCACTGGACTAGTAATCAAAATCCAGGTTAATGTTCTGAGGCTATTTAAAAAAAAACGATCATTTGACTGTCGATTGTTGTAAAAACCCAACTCGTTCACTAATGTTCTTTAGGAAAGGAAATCTGCCATTCTTAAAAACAGAAATTGCTGGAGAAACTCATAGGTCTGGAAGCTTCTATGGAGAGAAAGCAGAGTGTTAAGTCCAGTGAATCTTCTTCTTAACTGACAGTAGCTCGGAAAAGGTGGCATATTTGCTAAAGAATTGGGGGTGGGGGTGAGCAGATAGTCAGAGATAGAGCCCAGAGGGAGAACAACAGTTAGGCAAAGGCTTGGATTATAATAGGATAGGGAGAAAGAAAAGCTAATAAATGGGGACCATAAGTAGGTGAAAATGGGTTGACATGGGCTGCTTTCAGCACAGCCATGATAGGGCCTGGGGTGTGAAGGCAGGTAAAAGGTTGTAGAAGGTAGTGTTCAGATTCTAAAATTATTGATCTGCCATCCTTACCTAGTCTGGCCTATATGTGACTCTAGAACCACAGCAATGTAGTTGCATCTTAACTGTCCTCCACGCAATTAGTGATAGAGTAATAAATGCTAGCTTAGCCAGTATGCCAAAATCCCATGAATAAATTTAAAACGTATTCAGTGAAGTAGTAGGTTTGCAAAGGTCAAGTCCCATTGAAAATTACAGAAACAAATCTTTTCTGCATCTCATCAGCCATCTTCTCACCAAATATAGTACGTTCTCATCATCCCAAAATTCAAGAGAAAAATGTTCTCCAATGGGATGTTGAAGATGTCAGACGTTTCAAACAAGATGATTTAACGTAAGAAACAGGAGCAGGAATAGACCATTTGGTCCCTCAAATCTGTTCTGTAATTCAATAAGGTCATCATTGATATGACTGTGACCTTAATTCCATTTTGCTACTGTTCCCCAAAACCTGGACTTCCGTGTAGATCAAATGTCTGAATATATCTGAGGCTAAATTAGGCAATACCTAGCTACCACTGCACCTGGAGTACAGAATTCCAAAGATTAATACCCTCCCAAGAGAAGGATTTATTTGTGTGTTAAATGGGAAACCCATTTATTGAAACTCTGCCCCTAGTTCAAGATGCCCCAAAATGAGGGAAAACCTCCTCTTTGTATCTACCGTGTCAAGGCCCCTCAGAATCTCATATTTCAATAAGATCATCATTCATTCTATTAAATTTCAACAAATACAAGCCCAACATGCTCAATCTTTTCTCGCAAGGTAACCCTTTCATCCCAGGAATCAAGTTCCTGAATCTTCTCTCAACCACTAGTAATGCAAGTTTATCACTCCTTATATAAAAGAGATCAAAACCATAGGTACCCCACGTGTGGTCTCACCACTGTCAAGATATATTGTAGCATTTATTATAAAGAAAAATACACTTAAGTTTATCATATGCTTGATAATATTTAGTAATGTTAAAGAGAAATTATTCCAAATTTCCCAATGGTTATTTAAAACCACTTGACTTATTAAACAGAGGGTCATTTTCTGAAGAAGTGTCTAGGCCCGAAACGTCAGTTTTCCTGCTCCTCTGATGCTGCTTGACCTGCTGTGTTCGTCCAGCTCTACATCTTGTTATCTCAGATTCTCCAGCATCTGCAGTTCCTACTATCTCTGACTTATTAAACACCTTGTCTACCACCACTTTCAGAAACAGCTTAAATTTGAATACTGCTTGTATTCAAACAAAAGACTCCTGTTAAAAATAAACCATTAGGTCACTAGAGAAATCATTTACCATGTCACCTCACACAGTAACTGCAAAAAATATCAAAACAAGTCCATAAATATTTTTCAAAAAAGGTAAATATTGAAGCAAATTTAAAGTTTAGTAGAACACATAGGTCATTCATTCAATTTAATAAATTGCTGCTGAGGTAAGTTATGAGTGTTACATTTTACAGTTAAGTTTAATATGTTATTCACGGCAGATGCTTTCTAAAAAAAAAGTGGGGCTTATAAATTAATGTGGATTTGGGAAGCACAGTAATATTAGATGAAACTATGATCCAGTCTAAAACCAACATGTCTTATTGCTTCCCATCACTGATAGGCACTATAGGACATGGTTCATTTAATCAAGATGCAGTTTGAATTGATTGAATCACTCATTTTGTTTTAGTGGCAGCCTCTTCCTAGGATAGCATGTATAAATATTTGTCTTGTTGGCACTGAATAAGTACAATGTCACTCTAATGAACCAAACCAAATGGAGCCCTGTATTTTTTTTAAACATAGGAGGTTTGTCCCTGCCTCTGAGCTTGATCTCTATTTTCAAGTCCCACCCCATGACTTGGTGGTTAAGCAAAGTGCATTCATAACTTGGCTAAACAGATTGAATAGCAATCTGAAATTCCTTCCAAACAATACCAACAGCAAATGGTAAGGGGAGTGATTTAGACTTCTTTGGGGGCAGATAACTGCATAGCGAGTGGGGTTTAAATTGGTACCAACAGCACTAAATTTATTCCCAATTCCAGCTCAGATAGACCTTGCCTCCTAACGGAGATTGCAGTACTGCATCAACTGACCTGCCTTTGGGCTGAGAACTCAACAAGAAGAACGTGTTAAAAGAAAGTCCAGACAGGAGAAAACCATTGGTCCATTTAGCCTAGTCTCACAAACTCCCAGTCAGCCCTCTGGAACACAGTCCTGTACTGTATCACTTTCCTGGAAGGATTCTAACATGTCCTTTAAAACCAACAGCTATGGTTAACTTTTTTGTGGCAATTAATTTACTGCTTTAATCTTTTAGGCAAGAAGCAAATATAAATGACAGTCATAATTTAAAGTCCAAAATACAGCTGCTTACCTTGCTGGGTTTGTCTGTCTGTTGATCAAACACTTTTTCACAAAGTCTCAGTCCAGTCTCTTGCCTGATCTGCTGCAAATAACCCCTCATCATCTCTGAAAAAGTAACCAGATTACACACGACCATGAATAATCAATTGTCAGGACACGCATTATAAATTATATTCAACTGCCAAATCTCAATGTAAAGTACATTAAGCATCTCACCTTTGTTCAAGGCAAAACAGTTAAAATTCCTGAATCCTTCAAAGTTAGAACCAAAGGATTTATTTTGGGCAAAATTAGATCACACGCAAAGACATACACTCAATCTACAAAATATAAGGTTCATTTATATTTTGTGTGAAAAGCGTGCCACAACACACTGGACTACTAACATATACATCACATAATGGAGGGATTCAGGTTTAATCATCCCCATTGACACTGAGCTCCTAGCATCAATCACAATTACAGTGACAGAGAACAGAAAGGACTGAGAGAAAACTTCCAACAGGAACATTTACAAAGCCCCATTCCTACATTTCACTGGTCAATTTCAGAGCTTCTCTAGTAAATTCCTAGAAGCAGAGAAAGGGTTTTTATTTCTCAGAGAAAGTGCACAACTTGAATTGACTAAGAGCATAAATCGAGAAATTAAAAAGGATTCCGAACCACAAAGCTAAATTTTAATTTCAATGGCTTAAGTATTTTTCAATCATAATGTGGAACTAAGCTTAAATCAGCATAAAATTTACTTGTGACAGAGGCATGATGAGCATCCTGTAATTTATTTTTAAAATAAAAATATGTAGTTGAAAAAATTGACTAATTATGTTTTTCTGTCCTTTAATAATAGATTATTTGATTTGAATGATGCTGCTTCCTCATACCATCTTCCTGCTTGTGTCCTGGTTTTGCATACATGGCATTAAGAGGAAAGCCTGGCTCTCCAGGAATGGGAAAGTTAGTTATCCCCAAGGTATACATTTCCTTCTCTCCTTGATTTTTGGAATTGCACTGTGTAAAATAAAGAAAAAAACAAAATGAAAAGCTTGGTCACATACCAAAATAATCCTGAAGCGAGTAAGAGATGAAATGCATGCCATTTTCAGAAAAAAACTATTAGCTCACAATTCACCATGTGTGAAAAAGTAGGACAGCCTCACCATTAATGAGGGCTGCTTCTATTTTTCTTCCATATTTGTAAAAGCTTTTCATGCAAATACTTAGTGTAGCAGAAACATTCTAACCACCATTCTGCCTCACTGAACTAAATTTCCTGAATCCAGCTATAAAGCAAAGTCTTCAGATCACACATCTGCTGGGTGGAACTGGCTGGAGTAACACCATAATAGCTAGTCTGCCTATCAACTTTAACAGCTGACAGAGCAAGTCAAGTGAAAGTTAGTGGCATTTTATAAAAACAGTACTTTTCTTACCTTTTGTAATCTTTTGAGGCACTCAGTAATATAGAGGGTGATATAAATCAAGGTTCTGTCAGCTTCATTCTACAAAAAAGAACAGCTTGTTAGTTGAATATTTCACATGCAGCCTTAAAATGGTGGGACACAGGAATCATTCAACCCCATGAGCTTATTCCATTATTCAATTAGATCATGGTTTAACTCAGTCATTGATACACAATACAGAAACAGACCCTTCAGTCCAACTAGTCTTTGCTGACCAAGTTTCCCAAACTAAACCACTCCCACTTGCCTGCATTTGGCCAATATCCGTCTAAACCTTTCCTAGACAGGTACCTGTCTAAGTCTTTAAATGTTGTAATTGCACTTGCATCAACTACTTCCTCTTGACAGTTCATTCCACATATGAACCACTGCATATATGAACAAGTTGCCCATCAGGTCCCTTTTAAATCTTTCTCCTCTCACCTTAAAAAGTGCTCCCTATTTTTGAACTCCCCCACCCTAGGGAAAACATTTTTGCTCTTCACCTTATCTATGCCCCTCATGGTTTTATAAATAGTTATCTATCTTGCTTCCACAACCCTTAATGTCTACCGAGCAAAAAAAAAAATCTATCCTTCACAAATTTGGTGGAATAGTACAGAATTATAATGAACAATGCTAATTTTTAAAATAACTCCCATTAAACCATAAGCAAGTAGTACAAGTAAAACTGTCAAGTATCCTTTCACTTGTTCATGCAAAGTGAATGTTACTGACTAGGCCAGCATTTACAAGATGGGAGTTATGCATGGGCCCCCTAGCAGTAGACAGGTTGTACAGCAGAAAATAAAATCAGGAGAAAGAAAAAGGCATGTAAGAAAGGCACTATTACAATAATCATGAGGGACTTCAATATGCAGGCAAACTGGGAAAAATCAGCTTGGTAGCGTATCCCAAGAAAAAGAATTTGTGAAATGTCTACACGATGAGTTTTTGGAGCAGCCGAGGTAGAACCCACTAGGGAACAGGAAATTGTGGATTTAGTGATGAGGCAAACTTGATTAGGGGGCTGAAGGTGAATGAACCTCTTGGGGGCAGTGACTACAACATAATAAAATTCACTCTGCAGTTTGCGAGGCAGAAGCTGGAATCAGATGTAATGGTATTAACAATTGAGTAAAGCTAGCTATAAAGACATGAGGGGAACATAGGAAAGATGGTGGAACAGCAATGACAACAGATTCTGAAGATAATTCAGGAAGCACAGCAGAAATTCATCCCAAGGAAGAAGAAACATACTAAGGGGAGAACAAGGCAACCATGGCTGACAAGGGATGTCAGGATAGCATAAAAGAAAACATACAATGTGGTGAAGATTAGTGGGAAGCCTTTAAATACCAGTGGAGGACAACTGAAAAAGCAATAAGGGGGAGTTGGGGACGATGAAACAGGAGGGTAAGCTGGCTAATAATAATGAAAGACGACTGCAATTTTTTGTAAGATATCTAAGATGGTAAGAGAGAGGCAAGAATGGACATTGGACCACTGCAAAATGAGACTAGAAACATAGTTTTGAGGACCAAAAATGGCAGAGAAACTGAACAGGTACTTTGCATCAGTTTTCACAGTGGAAGACACCAAACGTATACCAGAACTTTAAGGTCAGTTAGGGGGCAGAGATAAGTGCAGTGGCCATTACTAGGGAGAAGATGCGAGAAAAGATGAAAGGTCTGAAGGCGGATAAATCACCCGGACCGGAGGGACTACGCCCCAGGATTCTGAAGGAGATAGCTGAAGAGATTGTGGGGGCATTTTTGATGATCTTTCAGGAATCACTGGAGTCAAGGAGGGTCCTGGAGGAATGAAAAATTGCTAACGTTACAACTGTTTAAAAAGGTAGGGAGGCAGAAGACGAGAAATTATAGGCCAGTTAGCCTGAGGTCAGTCATTGGTGAGATTTAAGAGTCCGTTATTTGGGATGAGATTGCAGAGTACTTGGAAGTGCATGGTAAAATATGGCTGAGTCAGCACAGCTTTGTCAAGAAGATTGAGGAGCTAACAAGCAAGTTAGACAGAAGAGAGCCAGTGGACGTAATCTATTTGGATTTCCAGAACACCTTTGACAAAGCGCCGCACAGGAAGCTGCTAAATGAGTCAGTAGTGTTTGGGGCAAGGTGTTAACATTGGTGTGGATGACTGGCAGAAGGCAGTGAGTGGGGAGGAAAGGGCTTTTTCAGAATGGCTGCCAGTATTAGTGGAGTTCCACAGGGCTCGGTGCTTGGACCACAACTAATTATGTTATGCATTAATGATCTGGATGAACGAGCTGAGGGTATTGTTGCTGAGTTTGCAGATGACACTATGATAGGTGGAGGGACAGGTAGTGTTGAGGAAGTGGGGAGACTGCAGAAGGACTTGGACAGGCTAGGAGACTGGACAAAGAAATGGGAGATGAAATACAAAGTGTGAGGTTATGGACTTGGGTAAGAAGAATAGAAGCACAGTCTACTTTCTAAATGGTGAATGTGCTTCAGAAATCTGAAGCACAAAAGGGACTTAGGAGTCCTAGTTCAGAATTCTCTTATGGTTAACCTTTAGGCTCATTTGCAGTTAGGAAGACAAATGCAATGTTAGCATTCATTTCAAAAGGACTGGAATGCAAGAGCAGAGGTATACTACTGAGGCTGTACAAGGCCCTGGTCAGACCACATTTGGAATATAAGAACATAAGAACTAGGAGCAGGAGTAGGCTGTCTGGCCCTTCGAGCCTGCTCCGCCATTCAATAAGATCATGGCTGATCCTTTCGTGGACTCAGATCCACTTACCCGCATTCTCACTGTATCCCTTAATTCCTTTATTGTTCAAAAAAAATCTATTTTTTTTTAAAAAGCATTTACTGAAGTAGCGTCAACTACTTCACTGGGCAAGGAATTCCATAGATTAACAACCCTCTGGGTGAAGAAATGCCTTCTCGGTTCAGTCCTAAATCTGCTCCCTCTAATCTTGAGGCTATGCCCTCGTCCTAGCTTCACCTGCCAGTGGAAACATCCTCTCTACTTCTATCTTATCTATTCCCTTCATAATTTTATATGTTTCTATAAGATCCCCCCTCAATCTTCTGAATTCCAATGAATATAATCCCAATCTACTCAGTCTCTCCTCATAAGCCAACCCCTTCAACGCCAGAATCAACCTAGTGAACCTCCTTTGCACCCCCTCCAGTGCCAGTACATCCTTTCTCAAGTAAGGAGACCAAAACTGCACACAGTACTCCAGGTGTGGCCTCACCAGCACCTTGTACAGCTGCAACATAACCTCTCTGCTTTTTATTTCAATCCCTTTAGCAATGAAGGACAAAATTCCATTTGCCTTCCTAATTACTTGTTGTACCTGCAGACCTACATTCTGTGATTCATGCACAAGGACACCCAGGTCCCTCTGCATAGCAGCATGCTGCAACTTTTTACCATTCAAGTAATAATCTTTTTTACTATTACTCCTACCAAAATGTATGACTTCACATTTATTTGCATTGTATTCCATCTGCCAGACCTTTGCCCACTCACTCAATATATCTATGTTCCTCTGCAAGGTTTCACAGTCCTCTGCACACTTTGCTTTGCCACTCATCTTAGTGTCATCTGTAAACTTTGACACCCTACACGTGGTCCCCAACTCCAAATCATCTATATAAATTGTAAATAATTGCAGTCCCAACACCGATCCCTGAGGCACACCACTAGTCACTGACTGCCAGCTAGAATAGCACTCATTTATCCCCACTCTTTGCTTCCTGTTAGTCAACCAATCCTTTATCCATGCTAATGCTTTACCCTTAATGCCTCGCATCCTTATCTTATGCAGTAGCCTCTTGTGCGGCACCTTGTCAAAGGCCTTTTGGAAGTCTAGGTACACCACATCCACTGGGTCTCCATTGTCCACCTCGCTCGTAATGTCTTCATAGAATTCCAAAAGATTTGTCAAGCATGACCTGCCCTTCATTAACCCATGCTGCGTCTGCCCAACAGGACAATTTCTATCAAGACGCCTTGCTATTTCTTCCTTGATAATAGACTCAAGCATCTTCCCCACTACAGAGGTTAAGCTAACCGGTCTATAATTCCCCATCTTTTGTCTACTTCCCTTTTTAAACAGTGGTGTCACATTTGCTGTTTTCCAATCTGCTGGGACTGCCCCAGAGTCCAGCAAATTTTGGAAAATTACCGCCAGTGCAGCTGCTATTTCTCCCGCCATCTCTTTTAGTACCCTGGGATGCATTCCATCAGGGCCAGGAGACTTATCGATCCTTAGCTCCATTAGCTTGCCCAACACTACCTCTTCCGTAATAATGATTGTTTCCAGGTCCTCACCTACCTTCGTCTCTTTGTCAATTACTGGCATGTTATTAGTGTCCTCCACTGTGAAGACCGATACAAAATACCTGTTCAATGCCTCGGCCATTTCATCATATCCCATAACTAAATTCCCCTTCTCATGCTCTAAACGGCCAATGTTTACTTTAGCCACTCTTTTTTGTTTTATATATTTATAGAAACTTTTGCTATCTGTCTTTACATTCTGTGCTAGTTTTTTCTCATGTTCTATCTTACTTTTCCTTTTGGCTCTTTTTGTGGCTTTCTGTTGACCTTTAAAGTTTTCCCGATCTTCTAGTTTCATGCTGTTTTTGGCCACTTTGTATGCCTTCTCTTTCAATTTGATAGCCTCCCTTATTTCTTTAGACACCCATGGCAGATTACCCCTTTTCTTACAGTCCTTCCGTTTCACTGGAGTATACTTATGCTGAGCACTTTGAAAGATTGCTTTGAAAGTCCTCCACTGCTCGTCAACTGTCCCACCATAAAATCTTTGTTTCCAGTTTACTTTAGCCAAGTCCTCCCTCATTCTATTGTAGTTCCCCTTGTTCAAGCACAGGACCCTGGTATTGGATTTTATCTTCACACTCTCCATCTGTATTCTAAATTCAACCATACTGTGATCACTCCTTCCAAGAGGATCCCTAACTATGAGGTCATTAATTATTCCTGTCTCATTACACAGGACCAGGTCTAGGATAGCTTGCTCCTGCGTTGGTTCCATTACATACTGTTCAAGAAAACTATCATGGATACACTCAATGAACTCCTCCTCAAGGCTACGCTGACCAAGCTGGTTCGACCAATCTACATGTAGGTTAAAATCCCCCATGATAATTGCCATACCATTTTTACAGGCATTAGTTATTTCTTTGTTTATTGCCCGTCCCAATGTGATGTTATTATTTGGTGGCCTATAGACTACGCCTATCAGTGGCTTTTTCCTCTTAGAATTTCTAATTTCCACCCAAATGGATTCAACCTCATTCTCCATAGAACCTATATCATCTCTCAGCCCCGCCCTGATGGTGTCCTTGAATATCAGAGCTACACCACCTCCCTTACCTTCCTGTCTGTCCTTCTAAATAGCCTGGTACCCTTGGATATTTAACTCCCAGCCGTGACCATCCTGTAACCATGTCTCCGTAATGGCTACCAAATCATATTCATTCGCGATGATTTGTGCCGTTAACTCATCAACCTTGTTACGAATGCTACCAGCATTCAGGTAAAGTGTGTTTATGCTAGCTTTCTTACCCTCATGATTTCCAACATCTCTAATAATATCTCCTGAGTTATCCTTCCTTTTTGCTTCTTTCATAGTCTGCCTTGAACTTAAACCCTCCTGCACACATGCTAACCTGCTGCTTACTTTTTTATTTACCATCATACTCCCTGTTGTTTTCCCTTTCCCTTCCTGGTGAGCAGTTTTGGGCCCCATATCTGAGGAAGGATGTGCTAGCTTTGGAGGGGGTCCAGAAGATATTTACAAGAATGATGCCAGAGCTGAAGAGCCTATCATGTGAGGAATGGTTGATAACTCTGTATATAACTCTAACAGGTCTGTACTCGATGGAATTTAGAAGTATGAGGAGGAAATCTCATTGACACTTGCAGAATACTGACAGACCTGGATACAGTGGACGTGGAAACGATGTTTCCACTAGTAGGTGAGACTAGGACCCAAGGGCACAGCCTCAGAGTGAAAGGAAAACCCTTTAAAAACTATGAAGAAGAGAAATTTCTTCAGCCAGAGGGTGGTGAATCTGTGAAACTCATTGCTGCACAAGGCTGTACAGGTCAAGTCTTTGAACGCCTTTAAGATTACTAATAAAGAACCTATCTATTGCAAAGAGGATCAAGGGTTACAGGGAGAAAGCAGGAGAATGGGGCAGAGAAGCACATCAGCCATGATCGAATGGCAGAGCAGACCCGATGGGCCAAATGGCCTAATTCTGCTTCTACTGCTTATTGCCCATCCCTAATTGCCTTGGAGAGTGATCCTGAGTTACTTTCTTGAAAAACTGCAGTCCACTGGTTGTAGGCACATCCATAGCACTGTACAGTTTTAATATGAATGTATTTAAGAATGCAAAACAAAACATCTGCTCGCCAAATGCCCAAGATGACATATCAGTATTTAAGCAAGTGAATTTGATTTTTTGTAGCACTTAAGAATAATTAAGGTAGACTTCCTATAAGGAATAAGGAATTACTTGCTTTGCCATATCATGGTTTTATATTTTATACTTAACAGGCTTCTTATCTATGTATCTTTATGAAAAATTCTCTTTTTTTGATTCTTACTGTGTAGAGAGAAAGTGGAGAGTCTGTCTTAGCTCTGTAGTGATGCAACTTACAGATCAGTTAGTAAAACGTGCACAAAAACAACCCATGGCAAGTCTCCTTTCAATCTTCTGGCTCATTAAGACAAGTTAGGATACTTGGACATAGCGGCTGCTGTCAGAAACAGGTCTAAACATATATCACACTATTTTTGTGCCAAAGTGATTTCACTTTGTTATACTACATGATGCATTATTCCCTTGAATACATGACAAATTATTCATGTATTTTATTTAGAAAGAATCTTTAAAAATTGACAAAATCAGGAAACAAACCTACCTTTATTTCATAGTTTTTGAAGAAAACATTTGCCTTAAAATAGTAGATTGCTTCATCAATGACATCAGTGTCTTTGGCTGGAAAAGATAATTATTGATAACCAAATCTTAAATCCTTAAGCATAACAACAAATTAACAATTTGATTTTGTTCTCCCCTGTTGGGAGATAGAGTCATAGTTACAGAAGTCAATAACAGAGAAGGCAGCCCTTGGGCCCACAGAGTCAAAAAGCACCACCACCTAACTATTCCAACCACATTTTCAAGCTTCTGGCTTATAGCCTGAAATATCTTGGCAATGCAGGTACACATTTAAATACTTCTTAAATGTTATGAAGTTTTCTGGCTTTACCACCCTTACTGGCAATGAGTTCCAGATTCCTACCACCTTTTGGGTCAAAAGCAGAAGTTGCTGGAAACACTCAGCAGGTCTGGCAGCATCTGTCAAGAAAAAAAATCAGAGTTAATGATTCAGGTCTGGTGTCCCTTCCTCAGAACTGTTCTGAGCAAGGGTCACTGGACCTGAAACGTTAACCCTGATTTTTTCTTCACAGATGCTGCCAGACCTGCTGAGTGTTTCCAGCAACTTCTGCTTTTGTTCGTGATTTACAGCATCCGCAGTTCTTTCAGTTTTTACCTTTTGGATCAAAATGTTTTTCCTCTCATTTTCTCTAAACCTCCTGTCTCTTATGTCAAATCTATGCCCGCTCGTCATCGATTCCTCTCTCTCCTCTCCTCCCCACCCCCGCACCAAATAAGTTTATTCCTTGATCAAACTTCAAAGTTGACCCATCCAGGTAGACATTCCAATCATCAATTAAGTCTTCCTTCTACAAGCAACTATGTTCCAATCAAAACAAAAAGCATGTCCTCTTGGTTTGAACTAGAATGCAGAGTCTGGTCTCCTTGGCTGAACACCCCCAATTAATCTAATATGTGCCTTGTGTCATTAACTGTTGCAAATTACGTAATTTTAGCTTATGTTACATTTGACTTAGAATGTAAAACAACATCTAGAGTGTCACACAGGCGCTCTTTCTTTGGCCATCAGGTGGATGGTACAAAAAAAAACACCCTTAAGCTAATTTTTCACCTCCTCCCACCCCCATACGTGACTAACCTTAGGAAAAACAAGGGCAGTAGATATGTGGGAGTATCCCCATCTGTAAGCTCCCCTCCAAGACGCAGAACTTTCTTGTTGGAACTATATCAGTATCCTTTCATCGCTGCTGGTTCAAAATCCTGGAACTCCCTTCCTATCATTGTTGCATCAATATACCATGTACTGCAAATGTTCAGAAAGGCAGCTCAGCAGCACCTTCTCAAGGGCACTTAAGGATGGGTAATAAATGCTGGCCTAGCCATTGATACCCACTTTTTTTAAAAACTTATCTTCCTCATGACATTTAAAAAGTATAATTGCACTTTCCCCTCACTATTCTCTCAAGCTTTCTCCACCCAGGAAAAAGTGGGAGAAACATTTCCCCTTAGTAGAAGGGTTCATAACTAGGAAGCAGAGTTCTAAGGTAAGGAGCAGAAGGTTTAAAGGGGTTTGCAAAATTCCACCCAACCCCAAAGAGGGTTCTGGATATATAGTACTCACTGCCTGAAAGGGTAGCAGAGGCAGGAACCCTCAACCCATTTACAAACTATTTAGACGAGCACTTGAAATGCCATATAGCATGCAGGGCTACTGACCAAGTAATGGAACATTACAATAAATGATGTTTGATGATGGTCGTGGACACGGTAGGCCTAAGAGCCTCTTTCCATGCTCTAAAACCTGAATGACAGTATAACCTACACCAATACGTCGACTAACAGCACTCTTAAATACAGTTACCGGGCCAAAGAGTGACCAAAAGTGACATTACAGTTTCTGAAAAATATTACTTTTTAAAATTTCAGTATCCTTCCAGAGAACCTAGCTGATGTTTGCTGGGTGCAAGCTGCATGCTGCATGTGTTGAACTAGAATTTTTGAATGCATTTAACAATTCAATTCGAGTATTTTTCAATACATTAGCCATGCACTACATGTGGCTAATCAGAAATCCAGCTGTGGCAAACTGCTTTTGACAAGCCAAATTTTATCAATAGAGTAACACACACTGTCAAACTTCCTGTGCATTTGGTACTTAAATCATAACAAGAGCAGAGTACATTTAACCTTTACTCCCTTTATTACTAAATGATGGTAGATATGATAAAATAAATATACCCATGCAAGATACATTTCCCTAAGCAGTAATTTATATCACAACCACGCTGCTGTATGGAAATGTGTCTATTTGTAAACTAATGTGTGTTTTCTCCCCAGCACCAAGACTTTTTTTTGAAAGATGTTTCTACAATTATTAACTGGTTTAAATTACAAAACTAATACTTAAGCAGTTGCCCTATGCATAACTGTACAAACTGATACAAGTATTGTATAATTCAGTTTTTTAAAAAAAAAAATCAAATCTCAAAACTTACTTTCTTTAGGAGCTGGTCCTTTAAATTGTGTTTTAAGCGGCAATAATGCCATGTTTCCAATCAGTTTTACATCACTATCCATAAGGGTTGAATGATAAGCCTGAGGAGAGAAAAAGTACAATTAGAAATGCTGTCCTTCTCTAGTATACCGTCTCAACCGGCATATTTCTGTCAAAAATATTCCTGATTGTAAGATTTTATTCGTAGATGGTTAAGATCAATATTACAGACCACAACTTCCAGTGAAACGCATCCAGGATGCCCCGTGAAGGTTAGCATTAGATAACATCATAGAATTAAAATAATTCACTTCATTAAGCTAAAGGTGACAAAATCCACAGTTCTCTCAAACGTACATTTTTGGATTTAAAAGACAAATTTTTTTTTTTAAAATAATCTTGCTTAGGCCCAAACGGCCTACTTCCTGATTTTTCACATCCACTTTTTTCATTTTTCAGTTCACTTCCACCAAATAACATCCATTCAGTAAGAGTTTGGAATGCTCCGATACAGGAAGGTTAAGGGAGGTGTTGGGGGATTAAATAAAAACCCTTCGAGAAACTTACCGGCATTTTACAACCTGCAACTAAACAAGCGCCGAGAATAAATTGGTTCTGCGTCGGTCACTCTCAGCGCTTCCGCCTGTCCCACCCTGTCGGTGACGAGCGCGGCGTCAGGCGGCGGTCCGGGAGCGAGCACAGCGAACGTTATTCCCACGTGACACGAGATAGGGTGAAACTGGCGAAGGATCTCCACATTTTACTGGAGGATTTTCCCCATCCCAGGACTGCAGTTCTCAATTTACTGATTCAGCTATCACTGGAGTATTGCATCTAATTCTGGGCCCCACACAGTAGGAAGTATGTGAAGGCGTCAGAGGGTACAGGAAGGATTCAGAAGACTAGTCACAGGCATGAAGGACTCTAGCTACTGAGATGTACATGAGAAGTTGGAGAGTTGTTGTCCTTGACGAAGCAATCATATAGAGGTGGACAAGGTCAGAAATCACATCAGCAGGTTATAGGCCAACAGGTTTATTTGAAAACAAGCTTTCAGAGTCGAAAACATGGAGTATGGTATAAAAACAATGAATTGGTATGGTAATGTATTCAACACCAATGAGCCACGAAGAGACACGACCAGTTCTCACTGGTCTCACTATACACAGACAAAGGAGGACATGAATTTGACTAGGACATCACATCCATAGTAGCACAAGCCAAACAGAGACATGCCATGGAATTCCTGGAGGCCTAGCATTCCAACCAGAACTCCATCAACGAACACATTGAACTGGACCTGATATATGAACTACTGAGAAACACAACGGAAGTGATACCAACCACTCTAGCAAACCGAAGCATATAAATAACAAGCAGGACACAACACTGACACTTCACTGGAGGCGCACTGACGATGTTACCTAGGAGGGTGACGAAACGTCTGCAAACACACCAACTCGGTGAGCAAGTCTACAACCTCATCCACAACCCAAGCTACAAATCTTCTCAAAAACCAGTCTATCCTTTTCCATCACTATGTTAAAACAATAGAATTATGGTCACTGGCCCCAAAGAGCTTCCCCACTGACACATCAGTCACCTGCCTGGCCTTATTTCCCAAGAGTAGGTCAAGATTTGCCCCTTCTCTAGTAGGTACATCCACATAAAGAATCAGAAAATTTTCTTGTATATGCTTAAATTCCTCTCCATCCAAGCCCTTATCATTATGGCAGTTCCAATCTCTGTTTGAAAAGTTAAAATCCCCTACCATAACCACCCTACAGCTAAAATGAAAATTCTCCTAAATACAAGAAATTCAAGAAAAGGGCAGCATGGTGGCTCAGTCACTAGTGCTGCTGCCTCACAACACCATAGACCCAGGTTCAATTCTAGCATCGGGCAACCGTCTGTACAAACTCCACACATTCTCCCTGTGTCTGCATAGGCATCCTCCAGGTGCTTCGGTTTCCTCCCACAGTTCAAAGATGTGCAGGTTAGGTGGATTAGCCATGGGAAATACAGGGTTAGTCTGGGTGGGATGCTCTTTGGAGAGTCAGTGTGGACTTGTTGGGCTGAATGGTCTGTTCGCACACTGTAGAGATTCAATTAATTTATACACCTTTAGTCAATCTGCAAATTCCAACCTTATCAGAATATATTGGTCCAATTAATAATGTCTCCAGTCCTAGGTACGTGTTTTCATTCACCCAGACAGGGATCGCTTCATGTTATGCCAGCCTGATACTGTTGGCCTCAACCCTTCTCTATTTATTCTAACCCCCATCCCAGAAGGTGAGGGGTTGTTCCTCCAGCTTGTGTTGAGCTTCGCTGGAGGACTGCAGCAGGTCTGAAACAGAAATGTTGGCCTGGGAACACAGTGGCATGGTGAAGTGTCAGATCACTGGAAGGTTGGAGTCATTTTTATATACAGAATTGCATAAAGCAGTCACCCAGTCTGTTTTGTCTACATGATATAGAGGATTGTGAACAGCCAATAGACTAGATTGAATGAAGTGCAGGTAAGTCACTGCTTCACTTGGAAGATGTGTCTGAGGCTTTGGCCGGTGAGGAGGTAAACAGTCAAGTGTTGTACCTTGTTTGATTGCATGGGAAGGTGCCATGGAGTTGTTTTGGGAGTCAAGCAGGGCATTCTGGAGGAAACAATCCCTACAGAATGCTGACAAAGAAGGGGAGGGGAATACATGTCTGGTGGTGGTATCCTACTGGAAGTGCCATATGTGGCAGTCTATGATCCTTTGGATGCAAAGACTAGTAGGGTGGAAAAGTGAGGACTGAGGGGCGCTGGCAAATGGACTGGGTGTCCCTATTAATAAGTCGCTTAAGACTTATAATGCAGGTGCAACAAGCAATTAGTAAGACAAATAATGTGTGGACCTTAAGTGGAGAGCATTTGATTACAGGAGTAAAGTCACAATTGTATAAAACCTTGACAACTCCTCACATCGAATATTGTGTACAGATTTGGTCTCATTACTTGCCATACAAGGAGTGTATTAGAGATTCACCAGATAAATCCCCAGGATAATGGAACTGCCTTATAAAGGTAAGATTGTGGACAGTGGGTCTCTATTCCCTAAAGTTTCAAAGATTGAGGAGTGACCTCATTGAAACTTACAAAATTCTTACAGGGTGTGATCAGGTAGATGTGGATGTTTCCCAGCTGGTGAGGCTAAGGCTGGGAGCATCATATTAGTTTAAGAGGTATGCCACTTAAGACCAAGATGGGATGAATTTCAAGATGAGGGTGGTGAGAATCTTTGGAATGCTCTACCCCAGAGTGCAGTGGAAGATCAATCATTGAGTGTTCAAATGAGAAATCAATATTTTGGAGACTAATTTCACAAGGGATATAGAGATAGTACAGGAACATGGCAGAGGGATAGGTAATCACCCAGTCAAAATAATGGAATGGCAGAGAAGGCTGAACAACACACCTGTTCCTATGTTCACCTGCCTGACACCACACCATACATGGGAAGTTGATAGGCCTTTCCCAGCAGCAGCAGGATGAGATCCTTAACTGGGCATTAATCAAACATTAAAGGACTACAATTGGCCTACCATGGTGCAGGTCAGCAGATTGTCTCCCCACCAGTAGTAAAATTATAATGGTGACAAGTGGGTAGACAACAACTATGACACCTACTGGATTTTGTGTTCTCATGCCTTCAAATCCACTAATTGTGTTACATCCAGTCCATAAACAATGTGTTGAATTATATACAGATAAAATGCCACCTGAATAAACTGAATCAACACTATTAACTTACGGTCTCTCCAGGGAACTGTTCCCTAGACGAACCACTGACCGACATTATTCTTGCGGATTCATTTTGCATTCACCATTCCACCCGTTAAACAAAGCATGTTCTCTAGTTCTGTATCAATAGCTTGATTTGAAATTAAAACATCACAACTGACATCACCACTGACACATCCTGTTTAAAAGTGAAAATCAAAAACAGCAGTGCAATGGGTCACTGAAATAATGTGATAATGTGACCATTCTTGGTACAAAGATGCTAAGTATGTTATAATGTTAATCCCTCTATGTTATCCCTATGTTAGTCCCTATAATGTTAATCAATGGCACCCTCAAAAAAATCCATCAAAATACGAAATCATTCCTTTCACAAATCCACTTCAATAATATTTAGTGATTTTATTTCTATCCAAGTGGTCCATATTCTCTCTTTAGGGAGGTTTGCTACAATTTTATACATAAGTGACAAATTCACAACTTACCTTCACGCAGTCGCAAACACCTTGCCACTACACAATGATCTCTGGAAGATTGATGCCAGAATTTCTGTAATTTTTCTCTTTAATTCTTTAAAAGATTTTCGAATGCATGTTACCCAACTCAAGTTCAAATTTACACACCTATTAGGCAACCATACTAGTAGTAATATGAATTGTGATGAGACACATTATCTTTTTCCTTACCCACTTCACTTTCCAGATAATTTTAGTTTTATTTAAACCTCAGAGGAGACAGCTAAGGCAAATAACATACTTAGCATCTTTGCAGCCTTTGTACCAAGAGTTGTCACATTATCACATTATTTCAGTGACCCATTGCACTGCTGTTTTTGATTTTCACTTTTAAAACAGGATGTGTCAGTGGTGATTTCAGTAACCATTGGAAGACTAACCCAGGCTCCCAAAATACAGGCTTATGGCTATGACTCCAGGATACTACCCAAAAACAGTGGACAAAAACAAAATTGCCGGAAAAGTTCAGCAGGTATGACAGCATCTGTGAAGAAAAAGACAGAGTTAACATTTCGGGTCCAGTGACCCTTCCTCAGTTCCGAGCTTTTCCAGCAACTTTGTTTTTGTTCTTGTTCCCGATTTACAGCATCCGCAGTTCTTTCGGTTTTTATTTGCCAAAAACAGTGCAACTAGCGATCTGAGGTTTAAACATACCAAATTATCCATTGCCCACTCCATCCCCACATGCAACCATGTTACTGTACATGGGCAAAGTCAGTACTTAATATTAAATTTGTCAGCAGACTATAACAAATACAATTCTAAACCATAAAATTCCAAATTAATATTTACTTTGGCTCTCAAAGCAAATTTAAAACTCAATGTTAACAGGCATATATTTTCTCCTAAATTCAGCCATTAATCTTCCCATTTGGAATATCTTCAAAAATGGAGACAATTTTAATAAACATTGTAAATATAATCTTTACTTTTAAATAAGATTTCATAGTACTTTTGTTCAGTGTGCTTTAGAAACTTATCATTTAATTAACTTTTTATCTAACACTTCCTTCTTTCTGTACGATTCTTCTTAATTTCTGCAAAACTGGATATTTTGAGTTAAGCTGTCCTCTTGATTGGAAGTTGCTGTTGTGCAATAATAAAAGTTCATCCAGGATGTTAAACAAAATTATGAGATACATCCAGTATATTCACATTATTTTGAGCCATTAGCCAGGAGACAATTCTATTTTCTATTCTGCTGAAACACTCGAAATATTACAAGTTACATGCCTGCACAGAATCTGCTGCAAGCACTTGACAGAAGTAGTGCTTAGTTAGAATTAACCAAAATATGTTTTGAAGTTTTAAAGGAAATTTATTGCAAGGTATTTACTGAAAGCATGTGGATTTGCTTTAAGAGGAGCGTGGAAGGAGAGGGGGGAGAAGGAAGAGGTAAAGCGATAATCATGGGAATGTCTCCTGTTAACATTCAACTGTCAGTCAATTTCTTCCTTTCCCTGGTTGACGACAATACATTTTGAGTAAGCACAGACACTGGATAGTGGAATAGGATGTACTGATATTTAGTGTAGTTTAGCTGGATACAAGGGCTTTTGATTTCTAGCTTCTTCTTTTAAGTCCTCTGAAGAAATGTTGAAAACCATGCTCCTTTGGTTCATTAATCATATTTTGCCTACATGGTTAGCACGCAAAACAATACTTTTCACTGTATCTCAGCACATGACGATAGTAAATCAAATCAAGATGCATGTCAAAGAATTCATGAAATTACAGTTCCTTAATCCTTTGAAAAGATTAGTTTATACAGTTTTTAAAAAAAACTCCAGAACTACAACTACGCAAACAAGACTCTGATTCAACTGTTTATGGATTCTTTAAAAAGTGGCAGTTGGCTTTAATAACCATGATCTTTCACACTGCTGTAGTTAGTAAGTTCTTCAAACTATGTTTATTGCCATGAAGCGGAAATGCCAGTATTGGACTAGGGTGGACAAAGTCAGAAGTCTCATGACACCAGGTTATAGTCCAACACATTTATTTGAAATCACCAACTTTTGGAGCACTCTAAAAAAAAAGCTGGTGATTTCAAATAAACATGTTCGACTATAACCTGGTGTCATGTGACTTCTGACAATGTTTATCACAGTAGCCACCAAATTTAAACTTTAATCACCTGTTGTTGACGTCATTACTTTCATTTATTCCTCTGTATAACCATTTCTTACATACAACACTCGGACACACAAAGCAGAAGATTAACCATGCTTTCTTCTCATGGCACTTCAAAGCCATCCTGCTTATATTAAAAAGTCTTGCTGTAAGATAAAAGGAAGTTTGATCATTAATCCTTAGCTCTTCAGGGCATCCAAGAGCATCTTATTACATTCGGTTTCAGACTCTGAATTACATCAAATTGAGGTCTTGTAGGTTTAGCTTCATTCCAAATTATAGTTCGTTAAATGATTAATGTAATTTTTTTAATATAAAAGGTTGTAATACTTGAACAAATGGCACCCATGTGCAGTATGTGTATTAAGCCAGAAACCTAAAATATTAGATTTTCAAATCAACAAGGTTTGAGATAGAAAGATTTGCATTTTGATTATAAAAACAATTTGAAAAGGACTCCCTCTTTCTACCTTATTCACCTTTCCCATTTATTTCCCAGATTACGTCTCAGCTCAGTGTTCAAGAAAGCACTTACAATTCATGGAACTTTCATCAACCCAGGAGACTCACCTGTGCCAAATGGAAAAAAAAAAGCTTTCTGCAATCCAACCAAGGTTGAGAGATATAACCTCAGATGCCCATCCATCAGGCTGGAATACGAGATTATGCGGAGTAATTACATTTTTTTTTGTTTTTATTTAACCCATTGTTCTAGTCAACCTGTTCAGATGTTAATACACAAGTCAGGAGCAAAATCCAGACCTCTCAAATAAGGGTAGGCACACTACTGCCGCACCACAGGGGGGCCCTCATTATATAAACATTGCAAAATTTCTCATTGTAAAGCTTGTTTCAGGTGGTAACAAAATAATAAATTTATTCTACATTTTTACAGTTGAAAAGAACTAATACTTCCTTTTAGACGACTGTCAAAAGGCAAGTGCTCCGTGGTGGTGATTCTATTTTTGAAACCTGTTGCATGAGCAGAAGCAGCAAATTAAGCTTTTATTTTCACACAGTACAAGTTAAAAATTATTTGCAAATTAAACTGTGTGAAGCTATGAAAATGGGACTAGGCTAATCAACACTTGTAGCCCCTTTCAACATTCAAAATCGGTCATTGCTAATCTCTACCATAAATACACTTAGTCAAAAGTGATACACATATCCTTTAATAGCCTGTTTAAAGCCTGGGGTTAGACTAATTTTTAAGTTTGAACTTAAATTTATATACACTTCAGGGCATTAGTTCAACTTCTTGATGACATAGATGGCAACTTCCTGTTGAAATAGCACAAACATGAAGACCATATCTCAGCTACCTTCAACTCTCTGGATCATCATGGAGTAAAGCCAGAACATTTTGCATGACAACAGCAGCCTCAAGTCTACTCCAGCTGCAAGTCCTTGATTTTGTGGTAGGCACAGGACTTTGTGGCACAGCTGTATTCTGCAGCAAACATCACCATGAAGACAGAATCAAGGAAGCCTAAATCCATTCAAACAAACTGACTTGAATTATATCTGGCACAAAAGGAAAATAGTTATGGTTGCTGAAAGTCCATCTTTTCAGCCGCATATTATAGGAGTTCCTCACAGAAGTATCCTAGACCTGAAAATTCTTGACTGCTTCACAACCAGCTTTTCCTCTATCATAAAGTTACAAGGGAGGATTTTTGCTGATGACTGCACAGTATTCAGGTTTGGGCTGATAACAGTCAAAACATTCACGAGTGCCAGACAATGACCATGACAATGACCGATATTCCAACCATCTCTCGACATTAAACAGTATTACCATCTCTGAATCTGCCAACATCAACATCCTGGGGGTCATCCACTGACTGCAAACTTATACTAGACCAGTTACATAAATATTGTTATGGCGAGACGAAGTCAGAGACTGGAAACTCAGCAAATATCTCACCTCCTCAGAGCCTGTCCATCACTTGCAACGAACAAGTTAAGACATATGATGGAATACTCTTCACTTTCCTGGATGACTGAACCCAAACAACTAAGTGGTTAACCTTCATAAAGGACAAAGCCTGCTTGACCAGCACTCCATACCACCTCAGATGACTGTGGATCCAGTATCTAACATCTACGTGTACTGCAGCAATTCACCAAGGCTCCTATGATATCATCATCTAAACCTGCTATCTCTGACACCCAGAAGGACAAAGGCAGCAGTCAAGTAGAGGACCATTATCTCAAGGCAAAACACCAATAGGAGTTGGAAGTACATTGCTATTCCTTCATTACCACTGGGTCAATATTTGGAACTCCCTTCCTAACAGCACTGAGTGTATCCCTAACTCCACAGACTGAAACAGATTAAGAAGTCAGCTCACTACCATTTTCCCCATGGTGATTAAAGATGAGCAATAAATAATGGTCTAACCAGCGATGCTCACATTCCATGCATTATTAAGAGAAATATCATTTGTAAGCTTTTCCATCATTCAGTAGTAATATTTGTCTTCCAAAATGAAATTTATTAAAAATTGTAGACTGTAAAATTCCTAACAATTATCCATTTTATGGGCTGTCGAAATGAAATTACCCTAACATACTTAGAAAAACACATACTTTGTACATTTTCTGCTTTTGAGTAAGCAACAAAGTGGAAACCTATCCTTCTCGTAGTTTGCAGCAAATAATATTTTAAAAGGTGCAGGCCTTTAAAGTTGCTACTTGAAATAAAATAAAGTTCCCAATATTTTGCTAAATATCAACAAAATGTTTTTGATACCTTAAATAAAACAAGTACCCTCAGGAGTTAGAGTTTTGTGTTAAGTTAACCGCACATATTATTTAGCAAGCTCAAACATGAATATTTTCTTTCGATGTATAAATCAGTTTAAGGATTTGAGCTTTTCTCCACACAATATGGTGTAAATAAGTTGCGTCCCAAACAAGATTCCTAAATTGCCTCATATTAGGAAATGTTGGAAAGACAGAGTGTTGGGGAGGATCCAAGTAGAAGGCTTCTGAAAACACCGAATGTTTAATTGGACCAAACATTCAGCCATGTCTAGGAACTTCAGTCTGCCACTGAACCTTGGAAAAACTGCTCACTTGCACTGGGGTCTTCAGTGCTGTCTTCTTGTTCCTGTAATAAAAGGACGCAATGGTAAAATGTGCAAGCAAGTTCTGAAACCTCATGAGAAAAACAAACCCAAAAAGAACTGTAGATGCTGGAAATTAGAAATAAAAACAGAAATTGCAGGTAAAACTCAGTAGGTTGGACAGTATCTGTGGAGAGATAGCAGGATTAATGGTGAGTCCAGTGACTTTTCTTCAGAACAGTTCTGAAGAAGGTCACTGAACCCAAAATGTTAACTCTGCTTTATCTCTACAGATGCTGCCAGACCGGAGTTTTTCCAGCAAATTCTGAAAACCTCAGTTGTTTCAATGCAGATCTTTGTAACTGAGCAGGGTACAAGTCACAAGGTCAATTAAGGATGAGGGAAAAAAATTGCTGGCCTCGCGCACATCCCTTGAAATAATTTTCAAAAGTCTTAAGATGTATTACACAGCAAAGTAACTCAACTTAATTATAAATAATAAAACTGTATTATTTTACTAAGTTAATTCCATTTTGTTTTGAGTTCCAAAGATAACCAAACAAAAACAAAGTAAAAGCTGAAAGGGAATACATTAAAGCCTAGTACTCATTTATAGGACTATATAACCTTATGTGTTTACAGCATAATTAGCTGCTGGAAATTAATTGCTTCCTCCTCTTTCTAAAGAGTATTACTCAATTTGGGATTCCACAGGAGTGAAGAAGCCTGTAATATTTCAATCAAGTACCGATTCATTATGTAACAGTACACGTGTGCAGATTATTCAATTTTAGGAGGCATCGTAGCTGAAACTTGATCTTATTGTTTAGCCTCTTATTATTACATACTTGGCTTTCAAGCCACAGACTGAATCTGTCAATTAAAACTGATTTCAATCTGCTGAGATGGTTTTAATGTATTTAGTTCTTGGTCAATTAGGTGAAGAAGGAATACAAGATAACATCATGCCTAAGTTACTTTAACGTGTCACTAATCAGTCATGGAATACATGTATCTTAGAGGAGTCCTGATCATTAAACTGAAGGAGAATGGGTGTTGGCTGGGTGGGGGGGGGGAGGAAAGAGGCGGGGCGGAGGAAAGAGGAGGGGCGGAGAAACAGTATCACTGGAAAATTCCTTTACAAGGAAACCATGTTTCACTCACCTTTGGTTCTTTGACTTCAAAATCCTCTCCATACTGAATGGAAAAATCAATATGCTGCAAGACTATGTTAATACATTCTTCATCTGAACGATCAAAAGGCAAAAAACGAACCATGCTGTAGTCATCAACCTTAAAAAAAAAAGTTATTGATGTTCATAAATGTAATAGAATGTGTTAATAGCACCATTTTGACATAATGTGGAATGACTACAGGATTTTCACAATAGCATTTAACCAAGATTTAATAATACGTTATAAGAAACAGCATGCAAAATGGAGTGGTATAGTCGCTCAGTGGTTAGCACTACTGCCTCACAGCGCCAGGGATCTGGGTTCAATTTCAGCCTCAGGCGACTGTCTGTGTGGATTTTGCACATTCTCCCTGTATCTGCATCGGTTTCCTCCAACAGTCCAAAGATGTGTAAGTTATGTGGATTGGCCATGCTAAATTGCCTGTAGTGTCCAGGGATGTGTAGGCTAGGGGGGTTAGCCACAGGAAATGCAGGATTACAGGGTGGGGTGGGGGGTTTGTGTCCAGGTGGGACACTCTTCAGAGAGTCGGTGTGGATTTTTGGGCTGAATGGCCTGTTTCTGCATTGTAGGGATTCTATGAAATGAAAAGTGGAACGTTCCTAAAAAAAACACTGGTAACTTTTGTATTATTTTCAGAAAGCTCAAAATACTGACGCTTTTAAGAAAAGCTCAGTTTAAAATCAACACTGGATTCTCATTGGTACCTTGGGTTTTATTCAGTAAATTGGCTTGAAATTTTATAGTCGTGGTATATCTATGGCATATGCTAATACTGTGTCCCTGATTTGCATGGAAATAACAGCATTGGTATGATGTTGGTGAGGCCTTTTCTGGAGTACTGTGTGCAGTTCTGATCACCCTGCTATAGGAAGGATATTATTAAATTGGAGAGGGTTAAGAAAAGACTCACCAGGATGTTACCGGGAATGGAGGGTTTGAATTATAAAAATAAGCTGGATAGGCTGGAATATTTTTCACTGGAGTGTAGGAGGTTGAGGGGTGACCTTATAGAGGTTTATAAAATCATGAGGGGCACAGACATGGGTCTTTTCCCAAGGGCAGGGGTTCAAAACCAGGGAGCATATTTTTAAGGTGAGAGGAGTAAGTTTTAAAAGGATATAAGAGGCAATGGTTTTACACACAATGGCTCGTGTGTGGAATGAGCTGCCTGAGGAAGTAGTGGATGCAAGTACAATTACAGTGTTTTAAAATACATGAATAGGGAAGGTTTGGAGAGATACGGGCCAAACTCAGGCAAATGGAAATAGTTTAGTTTGGGAACACGGTCAGTGTGGATTAACTGATTCGAAGGGTCTGTTTCCATGTTGCATGACTCTGACTCTATAAAGCAGTTACAGACAGCACCCAAACCCCTCTCAACCCTTCTTACATTGCTTTGCCGTGGCCCTTAAGAAAAATGATAACTCCAATACAATACATTTTCTGTAAAGACAATGGTTACGTTCAATTTGCTGCAGCAAAACAGACTTGATCAGTGATTTTACATCTCCATCCTCCAGTTATTGAAACTCAACCAAAGGAAACAGTTCCCCTTATTTACTCCATTAAAACGCTTTCATCATTTTGAACACTTATTAAATCTTCTCTCAACTTTCTCTGCAAATACTAACTTTCATGCCTGTTAATGTTTTACTAGTGTTACATCACTTAATTGCAAAAAGGTAGTCATTAAATAAGCAACATAAAATGATTTTTATAGGATTTTGAGATAAGCTAATTCAAATAGAGAATTTTTGATTTTAATGAGAACTTGGCTTTTTTGATTATCATACAATTCTTACCAACTCACAAATTGCTTTGGTTAGCTTTTTGAATTTCTTGCTTTTCCAAGTTTCAGTTGAGTCTTGTATCAATGAATACATATCAGGGTCTAAATACCTTTAAGGAAAGAATATCAGGAAATATTATTGACATAAATGCCCAAAATATGGCAAAAAGTTTCTAAAGAGCAGCATCCAAAAGGTTTGATAGTGTTTTCTAAAGTGAATTTGCAAACTATACTTACTTTGCTGTTTTAAAAACTCCATATAAGAAAGTGACTATAATTTATTAGAAAAAATGTAATACAATTTTAGCATTGCACGTCTCAGCATTTTATGACCTGAAGCAAGCCCAACTTGCTTCCAGTTGCCCTCTGTTATTGTTGAGAATTGCGTTCAGGGGATGAGACTGCAAACTGTATAGTCATAAGGTTACAGTCCCTGCCACAGACTTGAGCACAACATCCAGGCTAACACTCTAGTGCCATCTTTTGGATGAGATGACACCAAGGGCCTGTACCCACCTCAAATAAGCATAAAAAAGATCATTAATATCTGTTTAAAAGAAAATTAAGAAATTCTCCAAACTCTTGGAAGAATTTCTTTCACAAATCAACAAGACCAAAACAAACTATTTGATTATTATCACACTACTGTTAATGGGACTTTACCACGTACTGATTAAACCATTTCCTGCACTACAATTAATACACTTGAAATGCTCTATAGAGTCCTATGTGACATCTTAAGGTTTGAAAGGTGATACATAAACACATGTCCATTCTTTCATTGAAAATATCACAAATATCGTAAAAAGCACTTTCTTCATTAAGCGTACCCTCAAACAGGCAAACATGTAAATACTTTGCCAGAAAAAAATTGCAAACTCTCCCCGAGAATAATGTTCCGTCATAAATAAGAAAGAAAAAGTACCTCCCTGTTATTTGCCCATCAGCACAGCCAATTTTTGAACTCAACTTTAAAGACAGGAAAATCATCACAGTTGGACCCAATTCCTGCCCCAAACCCAACAGATCCATATAATGCACTCTATATCATCAGGAAGAGCATGCTGACAGAAAGAGGAAAAATGGAATATTTTACAGGCATCACAGCAATCACAAAATAACCACTCTACCAGGAAGGATGGAGAGCAACTGAGAGTCTCTGCCAGCCACCATCATTCCCCACTTGGCAAGTACCCAAAAAAATGCCCTCATCCTGAAGTGTGTAATATTTTAACAGTATGCCGAATATAAATGATTTCTTTATTCAAATATGTTCTTAAAAATAAGTGTCAAGGTGAAGAAAAGGCTGACGTGAGAAGTTTCAGTCTCACGCACAACTAAATTTTGAATGCTCCTAATGCAAATCTCATCTAGCCTGTATAACAGATAATTCCAAGTACATCATTTTTTAGTCAAGTGACATCCATGCCCGCAAGTGAATAAAAAAAGTTCCAAATTTACTGTTGCTCAAATTAAATTTTACATATGATATATGCCAAATTTACTTTCGCCATGTAGCCACAAGAAAACTTTAAGGCTGCATCAATAATTGAACTGCAAATTTTTAAAATAATTGAAAATAAAATTAAAATAATTTTCAATCAGAACAGAATCTAAAAATGGTCAATATAAAAAGCTCCATTTCTGAAAAAGTATACAGCATGTATGAACATGTACATTGCAATGTGTTATATTGTGTGAAAATGCATCCATCAGATACAATACAAAGTTCTGCTTACTTTTCAATTTCTTTCTTCGCTTTTTTGTTAAGTAAATCCATTTTTGTCATGATGTTGACCTGAGGAATTTCCAGAGACACCATAGCACTGAGGGCTGCCATAACACCTGAAACAAACTAAGAAAAGTACGAAGTTAATACATCTGCACATTTTACAATAAATGTCAAATTTATATCAAACATCATTTGTAAATGTTAACATCCTAGACCACACCCCCAGAACTGGTTAAGATCCAATTAAGTACCAGTAACCTTTTGTTTAAAGTAGCTAAATTGTTATTTGATATCCCAGTTACTTGCTAAAAAATAAAGACAAGACTCCACAATTTTAATCAAACAGAAGAAAGTTCACTGTATAAAAGCCAACAGAGCAGGTGGTAAATGCTAGATGCCCTGTACTCAAATATCTAAAATTAACAGGAATATTGTGATCAAGGGCATGACAAATTGCACCTTAAATAGCAGAGCAACAAAGACATTTCCCATGAATTCCTCATCAATCCACCCGCATGAGTGATTACACAGTCACACAAAATCTTTAAAACTGTCTTGCTCGAGAGAGATTTCAGACGTTCCCTTTCGAAGGCCTAGCTTCTGATTTTGATCAAAAGCTTGTCACAACTCAGACTGGATTCATAATGCTGTACTTCAGCATTTAATCAATGACAACAATTCCAGCTCTGTAGCTGTAGTGAGAAGTTCATTGCTCAAGATTACCTTTGCCTCAAGTGTCAGTTTCACTAACAAGCAACTGTTGCTTACAGGATTTTCCTTGTCCAACTGACAATTCTCTAGCAGACAGCACTTTTCCCCCCACTCCACTGGGCTGATACGTATCTAGAGTCACAGGAAGAATGACCACAGTTCTGTGGAACTGTATTCCAAGATGATTCACTGGTTTCAAAAGAACAGGACAGTAGAAAAATACAATAAAAGTTGGGGACAACGGACGGTATGGATCATAAGTTTTACTTTTTTGCATGCCACCCTTAACAAAAATAACAAATACTTAAATCTGTCTTGTAATAATTAGTTACAAATACTTCAAATGCAATGCTACAGGATTATTATGACATTCTGATCAAGTAGTTATGACCCCAGCTGATGTTATTAGCCATCAAGTCAGATCCCTGACAGGAACCTGGCTTGATAGATCATATTTTGATTTGTTTTGATTTTAACAAAGTGGTCCCTCACTGAAACATAAGCATGCAATGCTGCAGAATTTGTCTTAACAATAAAGCAGAAGTTCATTAATTGAAGAAAAGATAACATAGAATAAAGCGAAAAAGATTGCTAAATTATAATCTCACTAATCACAAAAGACTTCACTATAATTTGAAAAGAAACAAAACACACCCCTGCAAAACCATCCATTCAACACTCACAGCAGAATCCCTGTATCTAACACCTAGATAGGTTTTAAGTCATTTGTGACTTTAACTTTTTGACTGGAACTGCAGGAAGAAGCTATCATACACCTGCTTAGATGTCCTCAGCTTTAGGTAACCTACTTCATTATATATCCTTCCTTTCTCAGGAACACCGGTCCTCAGAGCCATCTTATTCCAATGGCTTCACAGGACTGCTCAAAACTCAAAATAAAAAAAAACAAAAATCTTCCTCTCTAAGCTTTGGATATTTCCCTTAAATTAAAAATAAATTTCACAGATCTCTAACAAACCTTGAGGCCCCATTATTTACCTTGCTGGGTTGCAAGACAATCTAAAATAAACAAAAGGTCCATTGTTGCTGCACAGAACCCATTCACTTCAAGCCAGGCCCCATAATCTGTTTTAAAAGTAATCATCATGGATACAGAAATATTACGAGTTAATTATTAAACACCAAATACAGAAAAGCCACAAGTTACTAACTAAAAAACCAAAAATCTACTTATAATAAATTATTTTAAATACAGCAAACTTTTTATTAACTGGCACCTATGAGACCATCAGTATGCCAGCTGATCAAATATTTCAGTCAATCAAGAGCACCACTTAATGTAAAAACACAAACTAAGTAATAGAAACGTAATTCAGGGGGTATACACATCGCTATTATACTTTATTTACAGCATAAATCACAAATAATAATGCAACTTTGCCTTAATTAAAACTTACCGGCAGAAAGCCTTCTCACTTGCACCCTCAACTGACTACTTAGACATCGCGGAGATCATGATAATACAGTAAACTTCCAGTATTTGAGGTATTTAATTTTTGCCAGTTTATCGAGTGTGCCGGTTCATAGGGTGCTGGTTAAAATAAAGCTTGCTGTATATAAATCCCAGTTCACATTACATAATGAAGACTACCTTAAATGACTCCACCATAAACTGAGAGTCAACGAGAAATACCCCACAGACACGAAACTCCCATTGCTGCAACTGTTCCACTAGCTGCTTCATTATTGGAAGATGAGTGTATAACTCAATCTGACCTGTAATGAAATGAATAAAAGCATGTTAGGGTACAAACCATTTGGAGAACCAATAATCAAAACTTATGACGTATAATGGGCTCAGTTACAAATTCTCTCAGAATGGCTTTTGTAAAAAGTAGAAGGGGATATCGACACCAATGTTTCACGAATCAGTACCTTCAGGAAGGGAGAGAAAAACAACCAGGAAGAGCTTGAAATTGGTATCCTAGAAACTCAATACAGATTTGTTCCTTTGACCGGATTCTAAATGAAAGGCTATTACTGTGTCAAGATTATAATACTTACTGTACACAATCAATACACGAGGCTAAATGCTACAATAAGTTAACTGTACCTACAGCCAAAACAAAGTTAACTTACAAACAGGGATGTAAAGTAATCAGGAAACCGCCCAAAGAGGAGGAGAATTTTGCTTATGGCAGCAAAGTGTCACCTGTTTCCACCACATTAAAGTGGTGCAAATATATTCAATAACAACATTCAAAAAGAAGGCTGACAGAGTGTAAATAATTTGATAGCTTTCAAAGAATCTGCACAGCCACTAAGGGCATCCTCTGGGCAACAGTTCTTCAATTTTCTTCTTTAAGATTCCAAACATACAGCAGGCAAAGTAGTATACTTGATTGACTTTGGTGTCTGTAGTTTTGACTTCTTTGGGAAACCTTCATCTATTCCAAACCATGATTAAGATTGGATGGCAATAGTCTAAGTTGCACAGGGCACAGACCGAGGGTGGGAGATTGGAATGTTATGCGCATGGGTCAAGGTTGAAAAGTCTGTCTTGTCAAGGGGAGCAAGTGAATGAGGAAGATGAAAGGGCCAAAACGTGCAGCTGCAGGTGTCTACCTGTGAGCATGAGTGATGCTAGTGGCTTGCAGGGAACGTGCCTCTCTGGGTGCCCCTTAAATGCACTGCCACGGCCTTCAACACCTTATAGTAACAGAAGGCGCATTGGCTTGCAACCCCCCACCCCCGACATATTCATAATATTCTATATTCTACATAAGATTCCACCCTACATATCAACTGCCACCTACCTGGACAATCAAATAGTATATAGTCATCTTCCACATGTCCTAGACAATCTGCCAGCCAATCAAAGTTGTTGGCAAAGTACTCCATACAGAAAATCAGCCCACCATTTGGGCCGAACTTCAAGGAATCATCTTCCATCACATCATCTACTTGAATGAGCTCCCGAATATCTATCAGAAAAGGATAAATTACACAACAGTAATTTTTTTTTAAAAAATAACCACCATGCCATATAAAACAAAGCACATTTCTCAAAATTAGTAGGGCTGATATTTTTTGCACACAGCTCAGCATTTTCAGTTTTCATTCAGTTATCTAGTAAGACCTTGTGAAGACAGGGATAATTATCTGCTTTTTATTCATTCATGGTATGTAGGCAATGGTGGCTAGGTCAGCATTTATTGCATATCCCCAATTGCCTAGCGAAGGTAGGTGAGTTGCTTTCTTCAAAAGCTGCAGTCTGTCAGGTGTACGGACATTCATAGCGCTGTTAGAAGGGGATCTCTAGGATTGTGAACCGGTAAAATGAAGGAGTAGTGATATATTTCTTAGTCAGGAAGGTATGTACCTTAAAACTTGGAAGTGGAGAGATCTCCATGCATCTGATGCCCTGTCCTTTCCAACTTGTAGAGCTTAAAGGTTTGGAAGATGTTGTTGAAGAAGCCTTGGTGAATTACAGCATCTTGTAGATGGTACAGTGTTGCCATTGTGCATCAGTGGTGAAGGAAGTGAATGGGTGAGTTGCCAATCAAACCAGCTAATTTGTCTTGGATGGTGTCAAGCTTAACTGCCGTTTCACTTGCACCCAAGCAAGTGGATAGTTTTACACCACAGTCCTGTCTTGTTGATGATGGGCATGCATTAGGGAAACAGGGGTTGAGTCACTCACCACAACATTCCTAGTCTCTGACCTATTCTTGTAACCACAGAATTTATTTGGCTGGTTCAGCTCAGTTTCTGGTCAGTGACAAACCCCTAAAATGTTCATAGTGGAAGATTCAGCAATTCACGATTAAATATCAAGGGGTGACTGTTAGATTCTTTGTTATTGGAGATGGTCATTGCCTGGCATTCATGTGGCATGAATGTCACTTGCCACTTAGGAGTCCAAGCTGGGATATTTTCTAACCTTATTGAAAATGGACACTGGCTACTTCAGTATCTGAACTTAACTTTATGTAATCATATGTGAATATCCCCATTTCTAACGTAATAATGTACAAAGCGCATATAGTCTTTACACACTTTAGCTGGAAAAGCAAATTTCAAAACATCATGTTTTGCTTAAGTTTTCAAGATGAATTGCAAAGTTATTAGTCAACTCACCTGCCAACACAGGATAGTCAAAGTATTCTGCAGCAGGGTCAAGGTTCACCACCTGCACAGATCGATTCAACACCTCACAGTGCTGCTGCACAGTGGAACAGTAAGTACTCTGAAATTAAAGATAACAAATCCACCTTCAAATTGCATGTTAAATGCATAAACAAAAGAACTCAAAATCTCAAGTTTCTTTCTTTTATAACTTAATTCCTAGCTTGGTAACTAGAAATTTGTAAACTCTGTAACAAGAATATGTAAATCGTAGAATCATGGAATCCCTACAGTTTGGAAGCAGGTCATTTGGCCCATCGAGTCCACACTGACCTTCCGAAGAGCATCTCACCCAGATGCATCCCCCCCTACTCTATCCCTGTAGCTGCATCTCCCTCAGCTAATCCAACTAGCCTACACATCCCTCAACACTATGGGCGATTTTGCATGGCCAATCCAGCGAACCTGCGCATCTTTGGACTGTGGGACGAAACTGGAGCACCCAGTGGAAACCCACACAGACACAAGGAAAATGTGCAAACTCCACACAGACAGTCACCCGAGGTTGGAATCAAACACAGGTCCCTGGCACCGTGAGGCATCAGTGCCAACCACTGAGCCACCATGCTCCATTTCACAGATGAACCTAGTAGTGTTCATCAGTCTACACATATTTAGAGGTTTGGTTTAGTAATGAACTTTGATTGCTTCAAAAGATCAGACAGTATCATTTTACCCATATAACGATAATTACTTCCAAAACCTACCGTATAATCTTTGGTGGTCACAAAGCATAAAGAACACAGAACCATATCGTAAAACAATTCCATCAAGAGGTTCAAATTATTTTGTTCCAAATTGTTGTATAAATCACAAAAAACAAAATCCAAAATAAAATTATTGTAATCACTGGCGCTTTTATAACCAAAAATACTTGGTGTTTTAAGTGTTTGTACCACTCAAAGACCAATTAAAACAACACAGCCAAGGAAGTTGTCACAATATGATTTACTAGATATAATTTTCTTTAAGATTGTTGACCGATAAAATTCATGAACTGCATTAAGATAGCCTTTCCCTGTTAAAGAAGACATATAAATCACAGAGTGATAACACCAGCAATGGAAAGCTACTATTCTGAGGGCAGCCTGGAGAGATTAGAATTAATTCTATGGGAGAGAGGGTAGGATTCAACACTTTCAAAACAAAAAATTATGAACCATAAAAAGACGTGGTTGCTGCCTTGGTCGCTAGCCAAGGCTCATCACTTTCAAATTATCAATTAAAGTGTACACAAGGGTGAAAAAAACATTTCTTAACAGAGTTGTTGGAAGCATGGAATGTTTGAATTCAAAGCTACAGCAAATTGAAAATTTTAAGCAAAAATTGATAAATATTTGAAGTAGAGAGAAATGTGGAGTTTAGAGAGAGGGTGCAACATATCTTGGGATTACTCCAGATATGTCAAAAGGGATACAAACTTTCATAGCTCTAGTTATAGGTTTTGTGAAAACTTCTTTGGTCTCATGACAAATAAACACATTTTACAACGAATTAAGACCATTACAAAAAGAAGCGTACAATATTATGATAACAATCTTTAATATTGCGGGAGGTTTCCTGACAGTGTTACAGCTAATGATTATCATAAAATCAGGGAGTCTGTTTTGGCTCAGGAACAGCATGCTTTAGCCCATCCCTCTACGGCATAATATCTATATTTTTCACACCAGTGCGCTAAATAAAAGCACGCTCTTATTATTGCCGCGATCCAAATGGAGTTAAATACCTTCCCGCTGCCGGCAGGCCCCATCACAAGTTGAGCAAAACGAGGCATCTCTCCTGCCACCTTTACCCATCAACTACATAGATAGAGATCCGGGTACCCACACCGAAGGGTCTAGGCCCCAAACGTCAGCCTTCCTGCTTCTCTGATGCTCCTTGGCCTGCTGTGTTCCTCTAGCTCTACACCTTGTTATCCCGCACCTACTACTTCTGGTTACGGAAGCCCCTTTGGAATTAGGTTACGCTCCTCCCGAAACGCGCATTTCGAAATGTTCGCATGAAGCTCGTTTTTCTAACACTTACAATTAATATCGCCCCTTTAACTTGGTTACATTTTCTTTTAAATCCTAAACACTAATTCTTTTATTAAGGAAATGACATAGGTCCCTTTATAATGCATGTTTTACCATAGTTTAAATTAAACGCTCTTCTGCCTTCTTGAATTCATGATTTAAAATTAGAATACATAAGAAAAACCGGAAGGAAACAGTTTACGACTGCTAACTCATACTCCAATTTACCTGACTTTTAGACTAAGATTTATAGAAAGCACAGAGCAAGTTCCAATACTTAACAAGAAAATTAGACAAACTAGGAACAGGATAGGCCATTCAGCCCCTTGAGCCAACTTTGCCATTCAGTAGGATTACAGCTGATAAAAACACTCCTGATTTCCACGCTCCTGCCATTTAGCATAAAACCTTGATTCCCCTACTGATCAAAAATTTATCTATCCCAACCTTAAATATATACGAGGACTCTGTGCCCTGGCAAGAAGTTCCATTAGTTCACATTCTATATGAAATTCCTCCTCATCTCAGTCTTAAACTGGCATCCCTGAATGTCAAGACTATGACCTCTGGTCTTAGACTCTCTCACGAGGGGAAACATCCTCTCAGCATTTACGTTGTCCCAACTTGCCTTTCCACCTATTTTTGTATTGTCTGCAAATTTGGTTACAGTGCATTCACTTTCTTCAAGCTACTAATATAGATTGTAAACAGGTGCGGTCCCAGCACTGATCCCTGTGGAATCCTACTGGTCCCAGGTCACCAACCTTAAAAAGAACAATGGGTGGCATGATGGCTTGGTGGTTAGCACTGCTGCCTCACAGCACCAGCGACCCAGGTTCAATTCCAACCTTTGGTGACTGTGGAGTTTGCACATTCTCTCTGTGTCTGCATAGGCTTCCTCTGGGTGCTCTGGTTTCTGCCCACAGCCCAAAGATGTGCAGGTTAGGAGGATTGGCCAAGTTAAATTGTCTGTAGTGTTCAGAGATCTGCAGGCTGTGTGAATTAACCATGGGAAATGCAGGGTTACAGGAATAGGGTAGAGGGCTGAGTCTGGGTGGGATGCTGTTTGGAGGTTTGGTGCAGACATGATGGGTTGAATGGCCTCTTTCTGCACTGTAGGGATTCTATGAACAATTGTTATTTATTATAAGTAATTAGATTACAGTTACAAATAAAAAAAGGTTGGCATATAACACCACTCACTAAAATTCTTATCCCCATTTGAACTCTCCTTTATACACACATATAGACAAACAAATAGGTAAAAGATTATTGGAGGAGTTAGAAGAAAACTGGAAAGTCAGTTCAGTAGTTTCTGCTTCGTGATTCCAGTGTTGAGATTATCCTACTTCGTCTTTATCTGAAAGCTTCCACTGGTTTGTAAGGAGTGTAGAGTGACTGATTCAGTTAGAAAATGTCTGATTTATCAATTCAAAAGTCACAGACGACAGCAACTGCTACAGGATAGGTAACTGCTTTTCTTCAATTTAAAACCAAGTTGTTTTTTTTACTGCAGAGAACAGGCAGCTTCTGGTGGGGAGAACAACAACACACTCTCTGTGGTGAGAGATAGTAAGAACTGTCAATGCTGAAGTCTGAGATAACACAATGTGTAGCTGGAGGAACACAGCAGGCCAGGCAGCATCAGAGGAACAGGAAAGCTCCCAATGGTCTCAATGTGGACTTTACTAGCTTCCTGTGGTTTTATTCTCTCTGATTTTCACTCTCTGTGGTTTTCTTCTCAGTGTGTCTGTCTCTGTTACTTTTCTCCTGTTCCAACCTGCTCATTTGGCTGATAACCTATCAGCTTTGTAAACAACTCCTCAGTTCTTTGTCACCTCCAAATTGCAGGAACTCAAACCCACATAAATACACAGCATTTACAATGAGAATTGCATTTCATGCTGTGAAATCATGGAACTACCCTGGCAAGTCCCTGTTTCTAAAAACAGTACTTCCTTATTGCAGTTCACAATTTATAAAGACACAAAAATAAAAAGATTGATTCTTGTAGTATTTACATGGATAGAGTTTATAGTGTCTTCTTGAGGTTTAACTAGATGCTTTGTTACTCCAGCTCTAATGCAAACTGTTAAATCTCACTGAAATTTGTTGAAGACGTGCATTCTGCATCTCAAATCAAAATAACACACTTCATGAAAACTGTGAACCTTTAAAGGAACATATTTATGAAGACCTTTATTTCATTCACTATAAATTTTGAAGATATCAACAGCATTTTCTTTATTGTGTGAAGTTAAAAAAAAAGCAGAAGGAATAATATCTTTCATTGGAAACTGATCTTCAACCTTTCAACTCACAATAGCTTCTACATTGCTCTGATAGACGAGTGATCAGCAGGGAGTGCAGTAAGATTTTGTTATCTCATACAAGATGTTAAACCAAATCTTGATTTTCAGATGCAATATTAAATATGATAGCAAGATTTTAAACAAGTAGATCAAGTCAAGGGATTGTAACTACAATTACTACCTAATGCTGAAATTATCACTGGGTATTATTACATAAGTGGCTATTATCTGTTTAAAGAATTCACTTGTTCACATATAAAATATGAGTAGCTGCTGATTGGAGAATATATGCTACAAATCAAGTTTACAAATGGCTAAGGTGCTCAGATTTTAGTATTTTGCTTTATGACTTCTCTGGAATAATTCAATTCATATGTTCATAATAATATGTTCTTCAAAACTTTTAATATGCAATTCTTAAGTTTCGTCATATATTTAACTAAACAATTAAACCAAAACTCAAAGCTATTCATATTAGCTGGTCTTGCAGGACTGGGGGGCATAGATTTAAGGTTTAGAGAAATAGATGCAGGGGGATATGATGAAGAACTTTTGTGTAGCCAGTGGTAATAATGTGGAACTTGCTGCCTACAACAGTAGTGGAAGTGGAGACAATTAACTGTATTAAAAGGAAATTAGATGGCCCTTCAAGAAAATAAACTTGCAGGACTATAGGGCTACAGCAAATGCAACAAGGGAATAAAACTGATCAGATTGCCCCAATCAGAACTGGCATGAAGCTGATGGTTGAAATTGCATTCTTCTAGGCTGTAATTATTTCATGACTGTATTCATTTTCAGATAAGTTTGTTTTTATTCATTTCTGGGATGTGGCCATCACTGGCAGGCCAGCACTTATTGCCCATCCCTAGCTGCCGTTGAGAAGGTGGTGGTGAGTTGTTTTCTTGAACCACTGCAGCCCGTCTGCTGTGGGTTGACCCAAAATGCTATTAGGGAGGGATTTGCAGGATTTTGACCTAGGAACAGTGATATATTTCCAATTCAGGATGGTGAAAGGCTTGGAGGGGGATCTTGCAGGTGCTGGTGTTTCCATGTATCTACTGCTCTTGTCCTTCTAGATGGAAGTGGTTGTGAGTTTGGAAGGTGCTGTCTGAGGATCTTTGGTGAATTTCTGCAGTGCATCTTGTAGATTCACACTGCTGCTACTGAGCTTCTGTGGTGGGGGGAATGTATGCTTGTGGATGTAGTTCCAATCAATCAGGCTATTTTGTCCTGGATGGTGTCAAGCTTCTTGAGTGTTGTTGGAGCTGCACTCATTCAGGCAAATGGGGAGTATTCCATCACACTCCTGACTTGTGCTTTGTAGATAATGGACTGGCTTTGGGGAGTCAGGAGATGAGTTACTCACCACAGTATTTCTAGCCTTTTACCTACTCTTGTGCCACTGTGTTTATGTAGCTAGTCCACTTGAGTTTCTGGTCAATGGTAACCGCTAGGACGTTGATAGTGGGGGATTCAGTGATGATAACACCATTGAATGAGATTAGATTGTCTCTTATTAGTGATGGTCATAGCCTGGCATGTGTGTGGCACGAATGTTACTTGCCAAGTAACATTATGACAAGTTCTATGTATTCAACAGTTGCACCTGTTTTATTCAATTTAGTAATTGGATTTTGAACAATAAAGTGATCAAAAGATAAGAAGTATTGGCAATACAGTGTTACAGACCTATCATGAAAATTAATTGGACAAGTTGAATTATAGATGAAAATGCTGTGAACTACAAAGAGAGAAATGAGAGCAATGAGACTCCATATGATGGGAAAAATAAGGAACTATGAATATATTATCAGGGACTTGCAAAGATGATGGGATGCTTACTGTCTGGAAAAGTTGATCATAATAGATCAAGATATATTATATATATGTATAAAATATAACATTTAATCTGATACACTGGTAAAATAACAAATAAAAATCTCTATGTAGACCAAAAGATATTGATTCAACTGTTTCCAAATCAAAGAAGATGGAGATAGATGTGTATTATTTTGTAATATTATTTCATGTAATAACTAGATATGAAGTGTTACTTTAATATTTGTTGAACACTTGCTGTTGATATTCATGAAGAGAAATAAAATTTGAATGATAATAAGTACCTATTAATATTATTCTTGTGCTATTCATGGATAAATTCAAAGTGTTTTTATTCTTAAGTGCCATACTGAGTTCACTACCAATAATACATTTTGGTTGCCAAAGTAACAATATGTCCAGCAAGTATCTCAATTGGTTAGGCCTAATTAATTTTTACACCAACAACAACAGAATAAAATTAGCAAAATCTCACAAAATAATTGCCAGTGCCATGTTTATACCAATCAAGATTTCACAACTACTTATATGGAAAGTATTCAGCCATCACCTTTTCAAAACAATGCCTTTCTTACCTTACCATAGTATAAAGATTTTTTAAAAAACTTTCTTCTCCAGATAGGACCTATGCTGACTTACGTTGCATCGGACATCAGAGGTCTTCCAGTTTCTCAATGATGTGACTGCTTTTGTGCAATTGCACAAGAAGCATTGACTGACTTCAAACATTAAAGACATCGCACCCAAGGACTGACCCTGTTGTTGTCTGACATCTACATACATGCATCTTCCAAATCAAAATGAACAGCA